GTTTATTCTAAGTTAAAAATTCTGTCATTATTTTAGAACTAGAACCAGATCATCACCTAAGGGCCCAAAGTCTCCAGGAGGCCCCCTGCCTCCAGGTGGACCAGGGATGCCAATAGAGTCTCCTATATCACCTTTATGAAATGTTTAGAACATGTTGTAAAACAATCTTTGTTTGTATTCAATTAAACCTGCTGAGTGTTGGTGGTTGGTAAGATCAGAGCAAGTGGTTACCTTTAGGTCCAGTACATCCTTGAGCACCGGGTTCTCCAGGTTTCCCCGGACATCCTGAGTCACCCTGCAACCACAAACACGAACAGATCATCATTTTTAGACATGTTTCCTGCTTGACTCATTAGGACTCCTCCAAATCCTACAAGCATTGACTTGTCTTGATGCTGAAAGAATTTACTAAATCATCCCTACCTGACTTGACTCGTCCTTGTTTGTCACAACTTTTTTGACTTGACTGGACTCAATTTGACTGGACTCAACTTGACTGGACTCAACTTGACTGGACTCAATCTGTCTTGACTCCAACTGTTTTGACTCAGTTTGACTTGATAAAGCTAAGCCTGCTGTCTCCACTGAAATGTGCGTTTTATCTCGACTTGGCAGAACCAGATCTGACTTGACTAGATTAAACTCATCATAATCCCCAACCTCGTGGCTTGTTGTGCATCACAGGAGGCAACATGACTTGACACAATTTGACCTGTAATGTATTAACGCTGATTATAAAGCACCCTTCATCTTACTGAATCTCCTGTCTGTCCTGGAAAGCCAATGAGGCCTCGAGGTCCTGGACGTCCAGGTGGTCCTGGGGGCCCTGGTATGCCACAGGGTCCAGAGGGTCCTTGAAGACCAATTATACCGGGGGGTCCATTGATGCCTGGATACCCAGGCTTACCAATTGTTCCTCGTGCACCTTTATTTCCTGTTGAGACCGAGACTACTGGTCAAATTTATGGACATGAAAAAGTCCCAACTCACAAGTGGGTGAAAAAAATCAGATTTAAATGGTGCAGGTCCTGACTGATTGGAACCTGCAAGCCTGTGTGTACCTGGTTTTATATTTTGTCAAAGCATCTTTGGGTTCCTAGAAAAGCGCTATAAAAAATCTATATATTATTATTATTTCTCAACTCCACCTAAACCCAGACATCTCAACCTAATCCCATCAACTCTGCTCGGTTTGAGTTGTCCTCAACACAACACCCCCACTTATCTTGACATAACCTTGAATGGCACGACTAGCCTGTCCTGACTGACTCTTCTTGACTCGACTTTTTCAGATTGGTCCTCTTTTGACAAGACATGACTCATCCTAAATCAACAAGACTTGACCTGACTGTACATGTCTCAACGTCACTCATCACCACTCAACACATTTAAATTGAACTGGACCTGACTTAACTCGCTTCATTTTCACAGGACTGTACCTTTCTTGACACGGCATGAATCAACCTGAAGACACCTCGACATGGCTTTCCCTGATTGAGCCAGATTGCACTCAACTTAACTTGACTCAAACTAACTCTTCTCTTGTTGGATACTGGGACCACTCTCAACTCGGCAACACTGGACTGAACCAGACTAAACATGTCTTGAATTTACCTGCCCTGATTCAACTTGTCTCAACGCAACCCAGCTCAGCTTCCCCAACCTGACTTGAGCTGATTCATGAACCTGATCATGGTTTTACGGTACAGCATGTAGGACAAGAGGTGTTTCCAGTTTTCACAGAGCACCTGAACGCAGCAATGAACCTCCAACCTAAAGACATCATGACCCTGCCACTTCCTGTGTTGTGTCATGCCTTTACAAAGGTCTCGATGGTAACAGTTCTTACCTCTTGGTCCAGGAAAGCCGTAGATGCCAGGGGGTCCTAGTTTCCCTTGCTCTCCTTTGATGGAAACAACATTGGTGTCTCCTAGAGGCCCTGTAGCCCCTTTACAGCCTGCAGAGGGGCACAAAGGGTGTGAATTTTAAGGATTTTTAGGTGAGATCTGAATGTGGTTTAATCCAAACTGTTTTTATAACAGCCAAAAATGTTTAAATATTTCTAAAACAGTTATAAAAAAAAAATCAGATTCACCTCGACTCATTCATTACATTTTGGGGTTATTTTCTCAGTACTATGTTGTGATGAACTTTCACTCAGTGCTTACCTTAGCATAGGCAATTTCTAAGAAACTGGTGTGTGAATATGACCACAGTGAAACATCATAATGGATAATGATATTGTGCCTTTTGAAAGGGCGTTGTCACAGAAATGGCGGCTATGGGGGGCAGGGATCCTTGTTGGACGACAGTCAGTGGGGATGGGCGAGCTAAGCTTAACTTTCTCACCAAACGCCCAGTTTTTACCTTTCTCTCCTTTCGGGCCTTCACATCCTTGAGCTCCACCTCGACCATCAAACCCTCTGGACCCCCTCCTCCCTGGGGCTCCAGTGGCCCCAGGCTGTCCAGGGGACCCTGGCACTCCCTCTTGGCTCTGAGGCCCAATCAGGCCTGAAAATACAATGAGTATTTCTGTGATGTCTTTAGGGAACTCTCAAGCACAGGTGTGTTGGTGGTGGGAGCTTACCTTTCTGACCCCGAGGACCAGGCAGTCCTGAATCTCCATTTACTCCAGTGGGGCCCTGGAGCCCCGGGTAACCTGGGAAACCAGAAGAGCCTGGTTTTCCCTCGGAGCCTTTAGGGCCAAAACCTGGAGGGCCATCCTCTCCAATGTCTCCTTTCTCCCCAATACATCCTGAAAAGAAAAAGAGCACATTGTCAGAATTTTTATTGGCAGGCTGTGTTTAGATATAATAATTTAATGGAAAACTATAGAAAACAAGTATAGAGCCAGTATTTACCTGGTGGGCCAATCGGCCCCTGGGGGCCAAAAAGCCCCTTGGGACCTGATTTTCCAGCATCACAACTATCAGAGGGGGGACCCCGGGGGCCCGTTATACCAAGGGCCCCATCCTGTCCTCTTTGGCCTTCTGCTCCAGGGCTCCCATACAGACCAAGGGCCCCTGGTTAAACACGAGAGGTAGGAATTAATTGTGCAGATTTTCTGCTTCACTTGAAAGAATGAAGTGAGGGCGGAGCCTGAATGTGAGTCATATCTCAAGTCCAGTATTTTACCTTGTACGCCATCATTCCCTGGAGGACCAGGTACACCTTTAGGACCCTGAGAGCCCCATGGTCCAGGGAAGCCGATAGGTCCTGATGGCCCTACATTGGAGTCTCCTTCAAGGCCCTGGAGTCCAGGAGAGCCTTGAAGTCCTGGAGAGCCTGGTGAACACACAGGAAAACAGACTGTAATCACATGTGAGTTCTCACGTTTTTATGTAAGCCTACATCACGGATACTTTCAAATGTCGAGCAAATCTTTCCAAAACGTAACCTAATAAACCTTTGAAATTTGAATCAGACAACTATAGAACAACTGACTTTGGAGAAATAAACTTGCTGCAAAGTGTATTTTGATTTGAGTAAAAATGTTTCTGAACTGGGACAAAAAAGTGGCCATGGCCAACTAACCCTTCTACAAGAGAAAATGGAGAGATGTCTTCAGTTATTCATTTCTATTGTCTCTACATGGGTCCACTAGCCATGCTGTGGTAGCATTATGGGAAAACCCTAGAAGGCAAACATTTCTTCTTCTTGTCAGTGGTGGGCAGCAAACAACTTTTAATTAAATACTGCCACCTTTTTTTAAGTAACAGGTTTTGTTCTCTTGGCAACTTATCAACCAAAATAGAGGTGCAGTAATGAGTAATCACCCTCTTATTTAAATATGGTCAAGTGGCTCCGTTAACCAAAACATTCAGGGCAAAAATTCCTTCTCGAGGCGTCAAAACAGTCGCACACCAGCTATTGGGTGTAGTTCCAGTAGAAAGTGCCAAACAAGGCAGCTATTGGTTTGTGTTTAGGAAAACAAAGAAATGTCATTGGTGTGTTGTTGGTGTGCAATGAAAACCGGTGGAATTTCTGATTTTTAAACGACCCTGACAGGCAAGTGACTGTACCTGGATCTCCACTATAACTGAAGCCTTCAGGTCCTTCATCCCCAGTATCTCCAACAAAACCTGGCTGTCCTGCAGGAGCAACACAGGGAACATTTTAAGACAAGTTAATATGTCATTAAATTTAACGGACAGGTGTAACAGGTGGGCTTTGGTACCTTGTCGTCCAGGTGGTCCAAGAAGTCCAGATTGACCTTTGTCTCCTTTCAGTCCATCAGGTCCAGTGAGGCCTGGAAAACCTGGAGCCCCCAGGAGTCCTGTGAAACCTGAAAAGAAAGAAAGGTAAACATTGAATCAGACAGACAGGTTCGACAAATAGGTGGATTATGATTTATTTATTTATACCTCTATTTCCCTTTTTTCCTCTCTCTCCAGGAGGTCCTGGGTTTCTGGGCACACAGGGCAGAGTGTCACCTGCAGGAAGAAGAGGGAAACAGGAGGGAGAGGGGGGCATACCGAAGGGGGAGGGGTCATACAGGAAGAGGAGGGGTCATACAGGAAGAGGAGGAGTCATTTGCCTTCATCAGATTTTTGTGTTGTTAACTTCAGCGTGATTTCTACCTTTAACTCCTTTTGGCCCTGGAAAGCCAAGTTGTCCTGGAGGTCCCATGTTTCCAGGGGCCCCTCTTTGTCCTATGGCCCCAATAACACTTGTCCCCACAGGGCCTGATGGTCCTGCTAACCCCTTTTGCCCGGGGAACCCTGGGAACCCGCTGTCTCCAGGAGAACTGGGGAAACTTGGACCCTGAAAAAAATATCAGAAAACTGAATAAGAAGTATTGAAGAGACGATTTAGAGTATTGTCTTCTCTCACTGAGGCCCCCGGTATGGAAAGAAAAGGAATGTAAATGGAACGAAGAGAGAATGATATCAGAAACATGTTATTAAGGCTAAATAAAACTCCAAAACGAAAGTAACGGAGGGTAATGTAACATTATGTAACGTTAATGTAATGTAACACTGTTATTATTCCCTGTTACTTCTTTTGGGAGCTCTTAATTGCCATAATTACGGTGGCCGGTAGGGGTCAAAGGCTCAGCAACTGATGAAACGATACATAATGCCTTGGAAGAACTGAAAAGGTTGTACAATGTTTCCATGAATTCTCTGTCAGGCATCTGGTGCTTTGGATTAAAAACTTCAGCAGAATTTTAGTTAAACCTCTTTGGTGGAAATCAATCCACTGTATGTTCCTCTAAGGATTAGGAACACGTTTCAGAAATTACTGAACATGGATCTAATTAGGATTTTTAAAACAAAGGGATAAAGTGCTCTGCTGGGAAAGGTTCAAAGTTTATCATCTTATATTTCCTTAGACCTGATTGGTCCTTTAGCTCTCCTGTTCCCTCCTCTGTGCTGAGTTTTATTTTTTAGAAACTCTCTGAGATTCTTAATCAGACCTCTCTATCCTAGACACACCCTCTCTGACTCAGCTTCCATTTTGCAGCAGGGTGACTCACCGGGGGACCAGAGTTCCCAGGGGCCCGGGGAGCCCATCAAGTCCTCTTCTCCCTGAGAATTCTTGTCTTCCTGGAGGTCCTTGCTGGCCTCTGTTTCCTTTCTCACCTGGAGACAAAAGTCCATCAACATCTCCATCAGTTTTTATAAAGGTGATTAAAGAACAATACAGATGTAAAACTCACAAACATTAGATACATTTATTGGTTCATCAGGAAACTGGAAACACCACCTCATGTAACTAAATACATACAAAGATGTAAAAAGTTAAGTTTGTTTACACCAACTCAACAAACTGTTCGTCAAAACACAGGAACCTAAACATCAGCACATATCAACTTAGGGGCTGTACTGTATGTGTGCAAGTTCAAGAGAACAGTTTAACAGTAAAGTTCACCTTTTATATCCACCACATTATAATCTCCCCTCTGTCCTTTAAACCCTTTGACACCTGGAAATCCAGCAAGACCCTGAAATCAATCAATCAGTCAGTCAGTCAATCGATCAATCAATCAAGTTGTTGAATTAACCTCTGACACTTTGTCTGGCAGCTCACCTGTTCGCCACGCTCTCCGGTGTCTCCAGGTAAACCTTTCTCCCCCCTAAACCCTGGGACCCCTGTGGCTCCTGGAAACCCTGGAGACCCAGCATCACCCACAGGTCCTGGGGGCCCCTGATTTCAGCAGGGGGCCACAAGAACAATCGCCACGACTACCTGAAACATAAACAGATTCATAAAAAGTTATATAAAAACCTTTTTTTCTAGTAAACTGATGAAGGGGAAAACACAGGACCAGTTGTGTTTGATAAAATCGTTGATTGATAACATGAATGGACCAATCACTGGTACAGGTTTTTAACCATGCACCTTTTTGATAATCAAAAAAGGTAAAGGTATAGAGAATGGAAAGCACAACGGAAAAGATCAGTCTCTTAAGTCTAGATTTAGGACAGCAGGGAGGCCTGAGTCACTAGTGATGTTTAACACACAGGCTCTCAGTGCACATGTTTAGGTTTTTCTCTTTGCAAGGGTTAAGTTTAGCTAGGAATATTCCGACATTCAGTCCTTGGAATTATTTGGCAGTTTCCCAAGGTTGAGAGTTTTTCAAAGATAAATTTGAATGTCAAAAAGTATACTAGTGTGTCGTCTGCATAAAAGTTATACAAAATGCATTTAAATGTCATCATTAAGGGACTAACAAGAGAATGTAGAGGAAAAAAGAAAAGGACCAAAGACTAAACCCTGTGGTGCACCTGTGGCTATCTTGTTCATCAACGGTTTCTGACAATAATGTTTTGACATTTTTAAGATCAGCCACAACATTAAATGTCAAGTAAACATAATTTCAATCTTTCATTAGTCCACAAAAAAATATATAAATCTGACATTTAAGACTTTAATTAAGACACTGACCTTTGAAAGCTGGAAAACCTTGAGCCCCAGGAGGACCCTGTTCACCTGACTCTCCAGACTCTCCAGTGGCCCCAGAAAGACAGTATCTACCTGGAGAGGAAAACAGGAATTCATCAAGAGGCAACATGAAAATCTTTGAGTGATTATTTGTATTCAAACCCAAAATAAATCAAATAATATAGATGATAAATTATACAGGTGTGCCTGTTGGCAGGACAGGTATAAAATCACAGGTGTAACACAAACATGAAATGTTTTTTCTTTTTGTACCTGGAATTCCTGGTTCTCCTTTCAGTCCTAGGGGTCCAGGGCGTCCTGGTTTTCCGGGTTCACCAGGTGTGGGTCCTTTATACACCTCACCTGGATCCCCTCTGTCCCCTTTGGATCCCAGAACACCTACCTGACCTACAGACCCAGCTGATCCTGAAGAAAAACCACCAGGGCACTTAATTTATTGTCACACAACCTTCATCCTTCATAAACACAGGTTGGTTCTATTTTGTGTCTGTGTTTGTTTATTCTCTCATGATACCTGTGATGTTCTTGTTCCTGTTCGGAATTTTAACTAGGCGTGGGACAAAATATCAATACGGCATTATACTGTTGCCC